AATTCATCAATTTCTCCCGAAATACATGTAAGTAAGTGGCCGGTGAATTGGGAGACGAATAGAGTGAACTTTATAGTTACTTACACTGTGTGTATCTGATATTAATAAAACACGGTGGCAAATTATATTTGAATGGATTGTTATTACTGCTTCCATGAACATCCGTGTGTATTTTACGAACTCTAAATGTATTGTTTTACTAGTACTTATCTGTATTTAAATGTCTGAAACCTAAAATAAACATTATGCGGTTAAAAGCACTGCATAGTTGTGATTATATGACAAGTGCAGTGGCGTCTCAGCGCCAGATAAAGCCCGAAAGCACAGTTTGAATTTGGCAGTTATGTGACGTCACCGAACGTTCTAAATCACATACGTGGGACCGTACTCCCAGGGGCACGGAAATAAAAATCCCATATGTGGGGCCGTACCACTCAAAGGGTTAATCTACTCTGGTGGATTCGGTATTTTGATTGGTCAGATAGCCTGTTAATCAATCTCCCTGCGAAGGGTCAATTGTGCTCATTCCTGTTGCGTGTCCTCAATCTGGCAACCCGCATAAGCGTCGAGTGTGAGGAGGAGGGGCGGAAGAAGCCACTCTCTCCAATATTTTGAATTTGGACTGCAGTACCCATTTCAACCACTAGCTGTCAATATTACACACTGCACATTTAAGTTTATTTTTCTTAAGTGAAATCATTTATAATAAACAATAAATAAATGTATAACTGATGATGAAAATTGTGGTGAATTGCTTGCATATGTGGTTTAAACATGTGGTCACATTTAACGTTGTTCGGCGAATCTTCAGCCATTATATTAGCAATCCACACAATCAACAGTTTCACATGAGTGCAAAATATTTCCCCACACAGATTTCGCAAAGGGTTCAGTTGGTCGTGAGAATTTGTCACGTTGACCAACAGAAAGTTGCTTGGTTTGATAATGACTTCTGTGTGAGCAGTGCTTCAGACATTGCTACACAGCTCCTAATAGACAATGGACTTTTTTGTCCACAAAATTTAGAAAAACTAAAATTTGTAATTGTCTGTAATTTTCCCTCCACAGTGTTCCCCCAAAGTTGAAATGAAATCCACACCGGGTGGCATCTGAAGGGGCCTTTCGGGGGTCTGTTGCTATAACTTTCCTTCTGTAAATAAAAGCTTAACCGTAAACTTTGAGTCTGTAATGAAAGCTGATTACAGATGCTATGATAATCCGCAAAACGTGAGCTCTCATCAAGAACACTAGACATAACAAATGCTGATGAATATCAGTGTAAATACAAGCCTGTGCTTTTAAATGAGCGCCTATCAATGAAATGCTATGATATTGACTTAAATGTGCTTGTTAAGGAGGATAAATTCTAACAGCTCTTTCATTTTCTGAAGAGCTGGCGCTTAGACTGAGGAAAACATGCCACTTATTTATTTAAAGACCTCGATAATAACACTCAAACGAAAAGCAATTTTTTTGGCTGTGATTAAAGTGACTTTACAAATTAAAAAAAAAGAAAAAAAAGAAAAAGAACATTGAAAGATGTTTATATCAGGGGAGTTTCTTTCTTTGACTGTCATTTTTAAGCCAACTAATTGACTAAAAGTAACTTGCTCTACTGTTCAAAGGAGAATGGGTTGCTCATGTTCCAGAATCCAACGAGAGACATTGGAATTCTGTCAAGAGACATTGGAATTCAGTCCAGTCCCACTGCAATTAACATAATTAACACTACTGCCATTTTAATACAGCTCCACACCTCAGGCCACAGACAGACTGCTCTCGCGGAAGCTGCTATACATGCATAATTAATACGCCTTACCACATGCAATTAAATATGACTTCACACATGAAAGACAATGTAACTGATGGATTCAATTAGATAATGCGCACAAAGTAGCACAGCAAATGTGGAAAGGCCACAAAAATCACTCAAAATCACCAGCTCAGTTGCTCGGGCTGTGTGAGGACAGACAAAAGGTTGTTGTCATTTGTTTTGTTCTTAATAAACATCCCTGGAGATACTGTGCATGAGTCAGTGTGCATTATTAATTGTGAAAATAAAGAGTCTTTGTAATATTGCTTGTCATCAAAGTGTTAAATTTTGTTCAGACTCTGAAACAACTTTATTTTTCAGCCCTACACAAATGTCCCAATGTCGATTTTTTTTTATCGTTGAATATTTCACTCAGAAAAATGTCAGATGGAAGTAAATGTGTTGAAAACACTGTAACGTTATATTGAACATAAAGACCAATTTGGAGGTTGGAATTAATCTGTTACTTGTAATATAAGACATAATATAAGATGTTTTGCTCTGAAAACCATCTCAAAAACCATGGATTAGTAGATAAAATTGATAATTAGTAGATGGGATATTTATATTATATATAGATAATATTTCATATTTAATAATGCATACATACAGGGTTTATCGTTATCTAGAACTAAATGAACTAAATCTACTTTTGTTTAATTACTTTAAATAAAATAAACATTAAGTGAAATAAAAAAATACAAAATCTTATTATTAAGGTTTCTCATGTGTGTTTAGTTTGAGTTCAAGTATTAAAATAACTAAAACTTAATAAATAAAAAAAAAAAAAGATAAAACTGACCAAAATATACAATACAATGACTACAACCTTAACTAAAATTAAAACAAAACATTAAAATAAATATAAATCTGATTCAAAATATTAACAAAACCTACATAAGGGATACAAAGTTAACTCTGGTCCTCAATTAAGACCAAAATATATAATACAATGACTACAACCTTAACTAAAATTAAAACAAAACATTAAAATAAATATAAATCTGATTCAAAATATTAACAAAACCTACATAAGGGATACAAAGTTAACTCTGGTCCTCAATTAAGAGTTGCAACAATTGTGCAAAGTTTATTAATCACCTCTGCTGCACTTTCTCACAGGTATCAAGAAAGCTCATTCGAAAGCACACACTGGAGGAAGGAAATCCAGAGGAGAACTCCACACTTCACTAGTGGCCGCGGGCACAGCTTTAGGCAAAGTCAGACACCGAAGAACTTTCTGAATGCCCACAAGATATGGACAAAGCATTTTAAACCAGACGCATGCATAATTGACATGCTCAAAGGGTTTAGAACTGTAAATGAAATACAATTATTATTTAATACAAGATAAGTGTCACAGAAGCCTCATGATAAATTTAGAGGGAGCGCTTATTAAGACCCTACCTTCACCGTCTGTCCTGCCTCAGGTCCGTCCTATTGGGAACAGAAGCAGATAATTAGTTGGGAACTCAGGAACACCTCTGTCAATAATTCAGTAGCATTTTAATTTCAAATGAATCGCTGCACTTTTACGTGACCGTGTGTGTCAAAGTGCCTCATTTTTTTACGCTTTTGAGCTAAGAGATACTTAAATATGTTTAATTGTTAGGATTAAAGGTTGTTCAGAACTATACAAATGATGTGAATAAAGTTGAAAAAAGGTGAGATTTATAATTTTAATAGTTAATGATAAGTTAAATAATAACACTGATTATATAACTGTAGAATTTAGCAATTATATAGATTTTATTATTATAGAATGTATATACATTGTACTATAATATATACTGTACAATTAAAGTATATATATAAGTTTGCATTATATGTAAAGCAAATTAAATTAGCAATGACCCCCCCCACCAGGTCTTACACAAGTGAAAATAAAATATAAAAAGTTTAGATATTTATTTAGTATTCTCTAATTTTTCATTTCCACATGAAAATCAAACACCTCAGATGCATCACCTTTTCAGAAAGAGAGTTTTATCTGTAGAACAGCCTTTCACTATTTCATGAAAGCAAGTCAATCTAATCTCATATCAACTCCTGCAGCAAAGGATCTTGATTATTCTCTTTTGTCTGATAAATTAAATACTTTTCTTTTGTTGGTTTGAGTTCTGAAATAGGTAACTGTTTGAAATTAGCATACGAAATATGTCTGTTACAAAGTCACATACCGAGCAGGAACGAGTTTATTTATAAACCAAGAGCCATTTATTTTAGGGTGTAAAGCCTAACATATGCAATCATAGTCAGTTTACAAATGTGTTTTTGTTGAGTATCATATTTCATACATCTTTAAGGCTCATATTAATTATGGAGATCTAGTCTTTCTCAATGTTTTATATATAGGCTATATAATGAAGAGTTTGGTTCCAAAACGCGATAAACGCCATTTAAAAAAACAATTGAGTTTCCGCCAAAATCAGTATTGTATCTGGTCGGTATTGAAAAGTCAAAATGTGATATCCGCCGAGTTATTCTGTCATGTCTTCTCCCTTTTTTTCCAAACCAATTTTGGAATTTCTGTGATTTAATGTGATATTGTTGTTCATGTTCTTGCTCATGATTACATTTTATTTTATTGTTGTAATTAATTTATAGCATTAACAAGATGACCCGTTGAATTCATTTTGGGAGCGATGACTGATTGAATGTATTTTTAGTCCAGTGCCTGTATATACAGTAAGATTAGTATTGACCAAGTTCAGAGGCTGTCATATGTGGATCAACTTACTATGTTGTTTATTTTCAACAGTTTCAATATGAAAAATAACTTTTGTATTGATTCAATGGATTTATTGCATTTTGAAGAAAAAAAAGTGTCATGGATTTTTTGCATTTTGGGAAAAAAAATAATAACATTTTATAATAAATCTTTGAAAATCGAAATCTGGATTAGAATTTTTAATGTTATTATAACCTAAAGATGCTATGTGAAAGTTTGAAACAGAAAATAGTGGTTTTCATCTTGCCACTTTCTTGGTAAAGAAAACACATTTTTACTCAAATTAATCAAAATGGATTTATAGCATTTTGGAACCAAACTGTTCAGATATATATGTGTGTGTGTGTCCTGTATCTTGTGTTTTCCTCCCCCACGTGCTCCATGTTCAGTTTATGCCCATTTTTGGTTTCCTTCCTGTTCCCTGATTGTGTTCTATTGTTCCCAGGTGTTTGTTCATTGATGCAGGTGTGTCTGATTAATTCCCTCGTTAAGTTCCCTTCTTAAGCGCTGTTCTGTCACCATACTTAATTGAACACAATGGACTTGTATAAGCTGTATGAACTTGTATACCTGAATGGCGATGGTTAGGGAGGACGCCTGAAAGTGTTTCTCAATCACATCGGCTATTCTCTGTGTGGTCATGAACAGATCTGCCACCTCATCAGGACGAAGATCTCGAAATCTCTCAACGACGCGAAGAGGACAAACTAGAACATCTGTAGGAAGAGCTTGTCAAGGGAAAAAACATTTCAAACGAGAAAAACACACATTACTGCACAAGTTTGGGTTCCAGTAAACACAAATATTTCACTCTTTCAAAAATAAAGCCACAAGTTATAAGCAATATGCATGCGAATATGATTTTAGTGTGAAAATTTGCTTAGTAATGTTTTCTGTGTGAAGTTACATGCCATGACAGAGTAATGCCTAAAACCATGAACTGGAATAAACAAAATAAAATTAATAAAATAATAATAATAATAATAATAATTTAAAAACAAACACTCACACCCTCCAAAAATTAGCCCTGTAGACCGTACATAGGGTAGATGTTCAGCTATTGTTCAGGTGATAAAACTTTTTTTTTTTT